ATAAATGATCTTCTATGTTTTGATTTGTGGTTGGATGTGGAAGTATATGACTGGATCAACAAAACAATGTTTGGTTGAATTTATGGACCAAATAATCAATGGTGGTTGAATCTAGAAATCAAGGAATGTTTTGGATCTTCAAATGACTGGTCTCTATGAAATAATTATGACTCAACACATTTTAGGACGTTCATAGGAATGATATTTATAGGGGAAAGTATTTGGGATGAAAAGGAATTGAAAATTCGGTGTTTAAAGAAAAAATAGAATTATGGACGTCTACCCATCGCTCGAGCGCTAGGCTAGCAACATGGGAGTAGTGGCTAAGCAGTCGTCGGTATCTTTATCATAACTTTCTCTCCTGAAATCGGATTGAGGTGATTCAAAATGTGTTAGAAAGATAACTCAAAAGGACTATAATTCATCTAGAAATAGCCCTATCCAAATTCCAATGTTTCTATGTGAAAAGATGCATTGCAAGTTGCGACAGAGAATTTAGAACATAACTTATGCGGCTCTTTCACACTATTTGAAATTCTAATTGCATTCCCTTGATCACATGTGATCATCTTGGACATCTTTGAATCTTGGGACTCCTTCAAGACTTATACTACCTATCCTTAACTATTTTGACTTTGATTATAGCTCGATAACCACCTATTACAATTCAACTAGGACTTGATTTTAACTTGGGAATTGCCAATAACAATTTGGACTTAACATTTTCCCGCTTTCGATTTGGTTCAAAATCCTTTTCATAATCAACCCATCACAAACAGAGTCAACGTTGGCCCTCCTTGTCATATTTAGCCCAATGTAAAAATACTGAAATTTGAGCCATTTTTGCAAACTATGTTGTGGTAATTGATGGAGCAACCATTTGTACCTTTCCCAAGCCTCTATATAGCATTTTGAATCCAATTGGGAGAATATAGTGATGTCTTCCATCAACTTAGCAATCCTTTTTCATGGAAAATATTTATCGAAAAACTTTTAACTAAAACTGTTCCAAGTGGTGATGCTATCAGGTGAAAATGTGTCCAACGATTTCCTAACGAAATCTCTTAAGGTGTATGGAACGAGTCTCAGCCAGATTGCCTCATTGGTTACTCCCGAATATTTGATTGTTACACTCATGTCTAGAAATATCGAGATATGAGCACTTAGATTTTCAGTGGCTCTCCCAAAAGATTGTAATTCATCTCGGAACATATTGATTACATCTGTCCTCAACTGAAAATATGCCTGGCCGAATGGCAAACAAACTATATTGGATTGACTCTCCACAATTGGTGGAACAATGTACTTTTCCATCAATCTAGCATTTTCATTACCCGCAACTACATTAAGATGTGCCGCATCTTCATTTTCCCCAATGGCAATTTTGATTTTGATTATTTTCTGCCATGAGTTCTGCTTGTTATTTTTGGTATGTTTCTAACTGTTTTTTCTTCTTACACTAAATATTTGTTCGATTTTCGAATCAATAGGAACAAGATCACCGCTTTTCGAACTTTGCATACAAGATCTTGAAAATGAAAGAGAGAAAACACTGAAGTTTTTCTAATTAAATTAATAAAGTAGTAAAAATTCAAATGAAAGATAAATTTAAATATAACTAATTACGTACTATAGTTCTCGACAACGGTGCCAAAAAAAATTTGATTGTTTGATTTTTTATTTTTTTTATTTTTTTGCAAGTGTACGATATTGCAAACATGTAATAAAATGATAAATAAAGTATTGTTCCCAAGAAGACTATGTACTTAATTAAGAATCAATTAATCTTAACCTTAATCGAATAGAAAATTTGGTTTTATGAATTTGTGCTAATTAACTAAATTGCTAACTATCCTACCAAACTATTTAGGAAATTTTTTACAGAAACATGTCAGATTATTGCTAAGAATTCAAATCCTCTTGTTAATCTAACTTTAATGCGAGCAACATTGTGATAACATGTATTCATTCTTGTTAATCAATGTCAATAAATTAATTAAAAGCAACTCTCAATATTAATCAAATATATCCCTTCATATGACCTTCATATATCTCTATGAAAGATGCGAACACAAAAACATACATTAAAAATGCTAGAATATCTATGGAAATCATGCAAAGTACTGTGATATATCTCTATTCCCTATCTGACTTTACAATGGTTATACATGCTATCTATTTATGTTTCTCTCGAAATCAGTAAAACTTAGAAATCCAATTAGTGGACAATTAATTGAAAAGCATTAAACACAATAACAAACATCCAAGAAATCACTCATATTGGACACCAAAATATTTAGTTTATATTTAAAATTTCATAAAAATGGTTCTACATCTTAACAAATAAACACCTAGCCTAACATTGGAAATATACAAGAATTCATATTTAATTTTTAAAACACCACCTGGATTTGTAATTGAATGAACAAAAGAAGATCAATTTTGAAATTTTGAATCTCTTCAATGATTTTCTGATTAATCTTCAATTAGTTCTTCGCTTCCTTGCCCCAAAACCAAGGTTTAGTCTTTCAATGAATGGAATTCTTGCTCTTGATCTTGATTTCTCTCACGAAGCAATGAATTTCTCCCACAAAGCAATGAATTTCTCCTCTCTTGAATGATTAAAATTGATGGAATATTGTAGTATGAGAAGTCCCTCATATTGGCTGGCCATGTTTTGTATTTATAAAGGTGAAATTCGGTCAAAAATCTTACAAGTGATTTCCATATAGAATTTTAGAAAAAAAATGCTCAATTTGCCAGGTAGTCGCCTAGGCAAAGCTTTAAGCCCCTGTTTTTGGTTTTTCAGCCTAGTTTTTTAATTGGGCAGCAGCCCAGTTATGCTTTCTTTCAAATTTCATATTTTGATCCCCAATTTCGATTCTTGATTCTTTAATTCCTTTTCTCTTGCAATATCGGTTATATAACTTCTAATTACATTCATTTGAACCCGTAACATCTTCAATTTTCATTTTGTAGTCCGGATCAACTATTGGATGTTTGCATTTTCATACTTGGCTTTTCACACTTTATTGTCTATTTTCACTTCTTTCTTTTAGTTCCCCTCCTATTTATCGAGTTTAACCTGATAAGCAAAATATACAATGAATTAAACTATAATTAGTCAAGAGAACTTCAAAATATCCATATTTAAAGGCCAGAATAAATGTATAATATACACTTATCACCCCCTTAGTTGCTACCTGGTTGGGGAGATTTTCCAGTTTTTTAGATTTTTTATTTAATTTAAATAAGTATATAATAGTTCTTATAATAAAGTTTTGACATTTTAATACGTCCACCTAGAACTATCCATCAATAGGGCTAATAATTGGCTCATGCAGCTCGTCAGCAAAGCACGTTCTCAAGCCCATGGGTCAAGCTCGACACCTAAAGCTTGTGAGTTTTGCAAGCTTGTCCCCGGGGCAAGCTTATGCTTATTGTTGAAATTTTATTTTTTTTTCTCTCTATATTTCTTTAAATTCTGTCTAAAAAAAAATCGAAAATATTGTGATCAAGTAGTTCGTCATGGTAGGGCCTCATTGCCCACTTGCCATCCTATCCATTACAGACGTCTTGCTACAAAACTAATAATTGCGTACGCATTTGCCACATTACATAAGTTGAGCTTCAATCGTATTTTTTCAATTATTCTTTTAGCTTAACATTTTCCCTGTGTTATATTCCGGTGTCATGCCCAAGTCTGAAGAGTTATTCAATCCCATAGACTTGCTATTATTGTTGAATTTAGTCCTTGCTTTCACCTTTGGGAAAGCTCCCACATCCATAGCACGAGTAGTTAAAGCAATGAATGATTTGAAATTCGAGTTATTTCACATACAAAGGCATTTGCTTTGATTAACAAGACTTCTGACATATAACTTTGGTGGAAATTGAATGAAAATCAATACACGATTATCTCACATTGGGAAAGATGTCTTAATAGCACAAATATCTATAGTTGCTTCTAAATAGGCATTCTTCCATGGTCGGATACTTGATTCCTATAGGAGTTTATAGAATGCCTAAATGGTCGAAACCCTGGTACACGTAAAGAATTGGTTACATGGCAACAAACAAGCTATAGTGATTCGAGTAAAATTGAATGAGGTTGATGCATTGGAGTACTCCGAGAAGTCATAGAAGGTGATTTTTATTTTCTATTATCATATATCATATTTCTATGCTTTTATATTTTTTTATTTATTTGTTTTATATCGCGTTATTAAACATTAAGTATTATTACTATTATGCAGATGCTATTTTATATGAGAAAATTAAGGATATTACGTCGATTTGTGTCAAGTGACCTATGAAATCAAGAATGCATTATTCTCGTAAATTCTTTTGTTTCATAAGTTCCTCGTATTTTTACTTTTGATTGGTGACATCCTTAGCTATCAAGGCATTTCATAGTTAAAGATATTTTGTTATTCTTAAAAAATCTCAGAATTAGAGGGACATTTGCTTTGCAAGTCTCTAAATTGCAGTTCAAAATATTTGTATTGGGCTGTAAATTTTGAACAAGGCCCAACAGATGTACTGGGCCAGGTATGGACCGTGTCTAGCATGGGTGAACTGCTCTGGTCCAAGAAGCTTTTTATCTGCAGAATATGGTACGTTGGACTAAGTGCATTTTTTGTATTAATTTTTCACTTCAAAAAAATCAATTTTTTGACCGCTATTTCATTATTTAAACCGTCATTTTAGACTTTTTCTCTCACGAATAGGATCCACTTTTCTCTCGAAAGATCAAAAAATCAATTCTTAAAATTACTATCGAACAAGCCCTAAATAAAACTAAATACGACATTACTCAAATCTCTCATATACCTCTCGTGTTTAGACACATCTAAGTGATATAATTTACAATCTGAGTGAACAAAAAACTCAAAATTTTCGAAACTAATTTAGCACACCAGACAACGCTCTCAATTCATCATAATAAGAAGTTAAATTTCAGTGAAGAAAAAAAAAATTACTCATAAAAAAAGAACATATAAAAATCAAGATGTTACTGCAATCAAATTTTCATTTCTGCAATAATTAAAATGAGCAGAACTTTAGGGGAACCATTAGTCCCATAATCTGATACCACAATATATGCATGTACAGAGAAAAGGAAAGACCTCAGAATATACAAATAACCTCAAACATCATCAAATGAAGATGTGGGTTTTTAAGATTCCTTACAACATATGTATAATTATATAAACTTATTTTTAGAATCAGATGTAAGGATTAATGTGGGATGAATAGTCCCTAATCCCTGCTCCTTCCCATCCCATCCATTCTTCCCATAGATCCCAATCTTGCTCATTAATCCCTCTCATCGATTCATCGGTCCCAGCATCATACTCCTCGTACATCGTCACCATCTCTGATCTGCTCGATTCCTCTCGTAAATTGCTCATCACCCTCTGCATCGGAACATCAAAAAAAGATGCTTTTAGATGTGAAATTTGAGATCATATACAAGTCGAATGCGATATTTATTTCATATCGATCTCAAACCCAAAAAGATGAAACGAAGAAGAAAGAAGATTGATTGTGTATTAGTCGATGAAAGCATCAATGGCTTCTTTGATTGAAATGTGAGCAACATTTAATTGAAGTTATGAACTCAAACATAAGATCTTGATTTCCCAACTTCGATACTTTCTTAGAGAGAGCATAAAAGTCTTATATACCCTTCGAGTTGGGGCAGGGCATCCCATCCCATCCCATCCCATCCCATCCCATCCCCACCTTATGATCCCGCATCCTGGCACCTCACACACCCCCCAAGAAAAGGCTATTTACATATATAACTCTTATATACCCTTCGAGTTGGGGATATATATAGATATCGTCTTTTCTTGGGGCGTGTGTGAGGTGCCAGGATGCGGGGTCATAAGGTGGGGATGGGATGCCCAGCCCCAACTCGAAGGGCTGCCACGAGTGAACCTATGTAGCCCACCCATGGCCAGCGCGATCCTTAACGAAATTCCGTGGGCTTGACAAGTCATACCATGCCTAATGATCTGGCCTGCCTAGGAATGTGGGGTCATGTTCGAGCCTTAGGGCAGGTCGAACAGCCCGTCGCACCTCTACCTCTAGGTGGGAGACAGTAGGAGAGTGAAAATGACTTATCAACCAATCACTCACTAAAAATCAATGATTAAGAGATGACAAAACCAATAGAATTATAAGCTTAGGCAAACATCAATCATAGTATAAAAAAGTCTACACAGATCACATCACAATTGTCTATTAGTTTATAATAATAAAATATATAGAATTCAAGTTAATTAATTAATTGTTAATTTAAAATTTTATTGAAATCTAAATGAAAAATTAAAATTACTTACATCATATGCTTCATTAATTTGGTGAAATTGGATCCCACAATTGCTTCCTCTACACACATCTGGATGATACTGAAATCAAAGTAAAACAAATTAGATCAATAAAAATGCTCTAAAACTTGTAAATTCAAACTTAAGTAATAAAATAAAAAAAAATAAAAAATAAAAGGTTAGGACACATATTTCAAAATCTCAGATTATAGAAGGTAAAAAAGAAAAAAAATTGAAATATTTAGATATGCCAAAAAATAAAAAAATTTAATTAAATTAATAACAATATCCAAATATATATTTTTTAAAAGAATCTTCTCAAAATTAAATGAAAATAATCACCAAAAAAGGAAAGAAGTATGAATTAGAGAAAAACAATGAAAAAAATCCAAAAGAAAGATAAGTAATAATTTCAAATTCAGGGTAATTAATTTAAAAAAATAAATGAAATATGAAGTGTAAGAATTTTTACCCTGAATTTTAGGCCTCTTCCAAATCTCAGTGGCTGTGGTAAGAAGAGATTTCTCGATCTCATTTATATTTTAGAATAAATTTAAAATCTTTAACCCAAGATTTTACATTGCAACCATCAAAAAAACAAAACTCCATAGATTCCCAACCAGAAACGTAAAATTGTTTCAAGATTCATAATTTCATTAAAAAAAAATTTGTATTTTTCATTAAAATCTTTAAAGAAATTAATTAACCTGAAGAGCAAGCTTTCTGAAAGCTTTCTTGACCTCAGATTCAGAAGCATCAGGCTGAATCCTAAGAGTCTTATAAGGATCACTCAGAGCAGAAGATGAATAAACACATGAAACCCTAAACCCATTTTTATTCACATTCTTTTTCGATGAATCCTTGAATTGAATCCAAGATGCAGAACCACAACCAGCAGCAGCCATTTTGAAAAATGGAAAGATTTTATGTTTTCTGATCAAGATTTTGAAAACCCACAATGCAAAAACAGGAATCAGTGTTTATGTTTATATAGATGTTGGATTGAATTGAAACATTAAAGCAGTTTTCAAAGATATGTGGCTTGAATAGTTTCGATAATATTTTAGAATGGAAGCGGAGTTGGTACGGCGAGAAAATTTGATAGGGTTATATAAAATGGGTCAACAGGATTAACAAGAGGCGACACTTTGGAATGCAATGATAAGATTATGCCAAAAGAATGAAGAAAAGTTCAATGGACCTCAATCTTTGATGTGTCTATACAATATATATTATCTCTTGCATATTAATTTAAAAATATCAATCATGCTACTTGTACAATATTATTTATACAGTAATGGATGACAACCTTCGTTAGTATTATCACATCCATCCATTTTTTAAATTGGCAAAAACTGTTTTTTAAATCATTGGTCCGGATTTCGCCACCTCCAACATTTGTCAATAATGTTTGTCAACTAACATTTTAAAAATAGCTTAATTTTAAAAATATATGATATGGTGAGATATGATTGAATCAAAATATTTTCAATCAAATAAATAAAAATAAAATCTCTCATTTTCCTTTTGACACGTCTTCACTCTGTGAAATGCTCTGTAACTCTTCATGTACAAGTAGTATTATATATATAATACTTGTCGAACCACCTACGCCACTCCACTCCTCCATGGATAAGGACCTTCCATCCTCTGTGTGTGTGTATATTTATGTTTATGTATATGTGGTGTCAAGGTCACATAGGATGGAGGTTCTTATCCACGGGGGAGTGGAGTGGGGTAGGTGGCTCAATATGTATTATATATATAGGATAAATTCCTTTAGGGTCCCTAATCTTTTGCTTGTGACATCTATATTACCAACTTTTTAACATTGTGCACGTGGCATCCTAACCTAACAGAAACTATCAATTTAGACATAGAATGTCCATCCGTGCATGTGTTTTCTAACTGAAAGAGTAAAATTATCTTAAAAAATTCCTTTATTCCGAACACTAAAAACAAAACATTTCAAATTACCAAATGTTTATCAGTAGACAAGTTAACCCTTTTCGTCGAACATAATGTTCATGTCATGTGGCTATTTTACTATTAAATAGATTGGTATGCATAGTTACATAATTTGTATGTTGGAACATTGTTGTCACACTTGTAAAAGATTGAGGACCTCAGAGGAATTTACCTTAATGGTCCTTATCCATTTGGGTGGGGTGACGTACCTATAACATTTTGGGTGGTGTAGAAAGGGAATGGACGATCTTATCCGACCCTTGGCTTTTGGGGCTGGGCCTAGTCAGACAAAACAAATGGGAGGTTTCTAAGAGCCTCAACTTTTTCTTATTTTCATTTTGATCCCTAAGGAATTTTCTTTCTTTCAAAGTTCCTAACATTCTTGTAGATTTAGCATTTTAGTCCTTATTCTTTCTATTCTTGGATTTGGATTGGAGTTTTGATAATCTACCTATTTTTCTAATATTCCAAAATTATTCGAAGAAGCTTCAACGTAAAACTTTGACGCCTTGATTGGATCGTATTGTTAACTTGTAATTTAACTTTCAGAAAAAATATTCTATCTTGTTGATGTTTATATTTATATTAAAATATTAATGATACGTATGACACATTATAACTAACACAATTTAAAAACAAATGTTAAAACTTTATCCATTGTCGTGTAAAGCACTATCAATATATATTGTTCTCATGTCATTATATATTTTAAAATTTATGAATAATTTAAAGGTGGCTTTGTCTTGAAGTATAAAAATAAGCAATTGCTTATAAATCGTTGCAAAAATAAGTTGGGCGAATTCTAATTATGTCGAAGTATTTATAGTTACAATAATTTTACGAAAGATACTTTAAGATTTTATAAATTTTAGTAGAGTTTACATGTATAAACTATTTATAAGTACTTCGATTTTTATTTTAATTTTTCCTGAAATAACCTAAAAAAAATCTCTTCACTCTTTAGCAAAATAGTTTTAGATAATATTTTCTAAAAAAAAATGTCCCACTCATAATATTCTTGTCGAAATACTTATTTTTAAGTGAAAAAATTTATTACACGAAATAAGTTAATTAGGTTTTGTTGTCGATTTTATCTTGCGAGTGGAAGGATCATTACAAGTAATAAAGTAGAGAGTGGAGTATTATCACACGAGAATTGATTATTAGCTATACTTTTTTTAAAACTAACTTGAATAAACTATACACAATTTAATTATGGTTTTGAATTTGATTTTCCTAATCAACAACTAAATTATGAAATTAATTAAGGAAATAGTTAGAAGTCCAAATTTCACAAATTAACTCTACAAACGTTTAATTCGTATTTGGGTTCATTTATTGTGTTGCTGGTCACTAAATCCAATATAAAAAATTAATGCTCGTCTCATGAGTAGCAGTTAACATATCTAAGATTATCAAACTTTGCTCTCTCTATTAATAGTTTGATAAAAGTAATGCATAAGAATATAGGACAATAACATGAATAAGTAAATAGAAACTTTAAAAAACAAGTTTGAGTCCTCTAACATGCAATCTCTCGATTTTTAAATGCAATAAACCTCATATAATTTACTTTTTATTAACAAGCATGAAAATAATTTGATTAGGCCAATCCAATATAAGTTATACAAAGTAAAACCCAAAGAGTTGTATTAAAACAAGAGTAGAAGTCAATTAACAACATTTTTCTCTTTACAAATAATATTACCAAGAAACGTGATAAAGAAATAAGGGGAAAAATGCAGAAGAAGAAGAAAGTTAGTTTTGAAATAGGCATCACCCATTTCCCTCCTTATCTTAAAAGAGAGATTGTAAGATTTACTGTTCATTTTTATCACATAGATTTTCACATGAAACTGGTTTGACAATAGTAAATTATTTTATTCAATCATACTGTAGCATTCTTTTCACACATCATCTTACAATTTTTACATGTCGTTTTACTAATTTTTTCATTTTCACACACTACTTTACTTAATTAAAGTCAGTACTATATATTATATAATAAAGAAACGAAATTAAATATAAAGATAATTAAAAAATGAAATTGCAAACAAAAATAGAAAAAATTTATTATAAAGTTTTTAAATTAAAATAAAATGACTTTAAAAAAAATAAATATTATTTAATTCAAATTTAACGAATGTCGTTTTATCATAAAGAATGTAAAAAGATTATTTTATTAAACTAAATTAAACAAATAAAATAAAAGTTACAAAAATTAAATAAATAATATATAAATATTATTTAATTAATTTAAATTTTACCATAAAAGAATTTAAAAAATTTTATATCGAAATATAATATCAACAAAATTATTCCTCTAAAAAAAATAAAAATTGCAAAAAAAACTTTGGAGAGAATCTCTCCTACAATAGACAGATAGTATCTCCTTTTAAAAGGAGAGTAAAAGGAGAGTTTTCTCCTTTTTTACTTTTCAAAACGAGATACTCTCCTTTTGCATGGAGTAAACACTCCGTGCACAAAGTGGTGATTTTTTTCCCCTTATTTATAGTATTTTTTTGTTAATAAATATTTAATTTAAAAGAATTAAATATATTTAAATATTCACCTAAAAATATTGAAGTTAATATTTTTAAATTATAAGTAACTTTTACAATATATAAGTTTTTTATTACTTTTAACTAACTTGAAATGATTTTTTTTTTTTACTTAGAAATAACTTTTTAAAATCTAAATAGTAAATTTTTTTTATTAAGAGTCCCTATATTTTAAAAAAAAAAATTGTTTATAGTAATTTTTTATTAATATTTAATTTTAAAAAATTAAATGTATCTAGATATTTACTTAAAAATATTGAAGTTAATATTTTTTTATCTATAACT